AGCTGTTTGTAGAATGAAGCATTGTTACCAGATGACACTTCAGTTTAGCAGCACTCATGCTTAACACTGATAATCATGTACATACACAAGACTGTGTTGTCTTTTTTTCTTACTAGTGGTTTAGAAAAAATAACAGAAAAAAAAAAAAAAGCAAGCAAAGTCTAAAAGCCAAAGATAGAACAGGAACCTTTCTGCAGTACAAAGATGTTAATAAGTGGATATTTGACATGATACGTTGTAATAGTGCTAAAGGAGCCATTATGATTTATTGAGTCAATCTGCAGTATGGAGACAATAATAAGCGGATCTTATCTCATTAAGTGGAACATGTTGTTCTGCTGCATGGGCATCCCCAGCATCTGCCACCCTTACTCACCCAATCTTCCCGTCATGTTTTGCATGCCACAGACACAGCTCTCATTTCAAGGTTGTACCAAGTTGGTGAGACCCACAGGCTGCGAAGGCACCAGAAGACCAGCAAAGAAAATCCAGCCATTTTGCTAAAGCAGCTGGGGGAGCAGGGCTGCTGCAGAGAAACCCAAGGAGAGCTAGCACATCAGATAAATTAGGCTAAAGGCATCTTGATTTGAAGCATGTTGCTGAATACACCTCTCTACTTCAGCTGAAATTCTAACTGCACTATTAAGGTAATTTATTACACTCATTAAGTACCACAATCAGAGACCCTGTCTACAGTAGCTAGCTTTATACACTTTAAAAATGTTAGCAAGTCACCCCATTACATCTTAGTCATGAGACTAATGCAGATTACTTATTACTTCTCTTGGCAATCACATAACACTTGTCCTGAGAATGAAAGATGATGCCTTGACAATAATATGCTATAATGTAATAACCCTTCACATGCTATAAAGTGCAGCACTTTTTCTTTTGAGGATCACTAAGTGCTGGGCAGGCATTCATTAATACAGCCTCGCCAGACCCCGGTGACACAGCCATCCCCATTCAAAATTCAGCCACCATACTAATGTCCCCGTGCGTCTCTGCACAGCACCCATCTCCACTGCTGCATTCAGCACAGCCCTCTGAAATACCGCTGCTTCCACTCTCTCCCTCCTATTTGTAATAGCAGATAACTGCAGGCACACGATATCTGCTGAAATATTAATGAGAGAGAAGTAAGTGTTGTTTTAATATTCTCCAGGCCAGTAACATGAAGTATAAAGCAGTTACCTGATCTGCCCAGGGCCACTCAGCAGCCGGGGAAGAAACGGGAGTAAAATCTAGAAGTTGTGGTTCTGCTCAAAACAGCCCTCCCTTGGGGTCCCTGTGAGAGCCCGCAATTCAAATGCAGAAGTAATTGCTAAATAATTAGTAGCCTACACAATTACTTCCATGCATCCGTCAGTATTTTATGCCCTGAAGAAGCAGTCAATAAATGCCTGAGATTATAATTATCATGATTTCCTATCCACCAGAAGGCCTAGACAATGCGCAGTCTAAAAAGATTTTTCCTTCCTAATGAGTACTGTCAATGGGAATTACTAACCGGCTTGAGCATGTTGCATGCAGCTTTACCAGCATGCACGTGGTGCAAAAAGCACCAATACTGGTACAGCACCACAGCTCTGGGCAGGTCTTCCAGAATTTCAGCACCAGCTCCTGGATTCATGTGATCAGCATGTAGCTTTCATTAGGGGAAAAAAGAAGAAGTTTCTAGGCTTTATGGTTAAGAATCAGCATGTTAAAACGAACTGAAAACCTCTGGAATTAAGGCTTGCAAATGCCTCCTCCCATCTGATCACAATTTTTGCAGCATTTTGTGTGAAGAACACAGCAGAGAGGTGACAGGTGACCAGAAAAGCAGCTGCCATGCCCGCTCTGCATTCACCGGGACGTGAATCAAAAACTGCCCAGAAGAACCTATTTGCAGTGTGCCAGAGGAAATAAGAATGACATGCAGCCCAGTAGGTAGGCAACACCTTTTTCTCCCTATTTAGCTTGCAGTTTCTCTCTGCAATTACAGCACTTTCAAAACCCAGGTTGTTCTTTCAAAACCTGATACACTCTCCTACTCTTTTATGGTTTCCAACTGTTCTCTTCTGCATTTTCTTTATTCTTTCCAAATCAATAGTATCCGTATCAGCATCAAAGTCCTGTGTATTACCCCTCTTCTGACTGCTCCCTGTTTTCTAATCTTTCTCCCCGGAAGTTCTCTTCAGTAAGTCTTACTAAAAAAATGTTCATGTTACATCTTCTCCTGCAAAGTTTTTCCCAATGATAGTGGCAGTATTCACGTGGCTTTATGCCTTTCAAGAGGCAAACAAATGTCATCCAGTAATACCAAGACTTTATCCTGATCATTCAGGTCAGACTTCCTCTCCAGCAGCTGAAACACAGCACAGAAATACAGGGCATCCATCTATCCACCCCACCACCACATGCAGACACTTACAAATTAAGGGCCAGAAGGGACCTTGGGACCACCCTGACCCCAAACCACCAGCCTGCTTGAGCCACATGAGCTTGTAGCTGCCAGGCTCACGAAAACTTCCCCAGTCATCATCACTACTCTCCGTTTCATAGAATTCCCCTTCCTTCATCTCTAAGTCACCTAATTACATTGTAATCAAAAGCAACCTTTTCTTTGCAATTGTTTGATTCCCACTCAGCACAACAGGTAGTATTATTAATAATAAAAGCCACGCATTAAAGGTATTATTTTATTGTTCTTCAGAGGGAAATAGAAGATTATTTCTTTTTGTCGGGTTCCATCCCTCTGGTTTAGAATAAGACATCACTGGCAAGGTCAAAAATACAATCAACTTCTTCTTGGTGGTACATTTAAAAAAATAAAAACAAAGGCAGCAGCAAAATCCAGCATAAAACAAATGACAATTAAAGTAATCTAAGACTATAAAGTTGGGCAATAACAAAGACTTGGACATTAGAAGTCTAACTTACTTTGTGGTCTGCGTTTTTGGCAGATTGGGGTTTTTTTATAGACAAAATTGCTGGAGATTACAGCACTGAGTCTGAATCACACCAGCTTCCAAGATCTAATCAAGATCAAGAGTGTCTTGATCAATACTATTGTAAAATAAGATTTCCAAAAAATGTACAACAATGCCATTAAAGAAATCTTGGAAGGCAGCAAAATAATTTCTTGAAGCTGTAAGTGAAAAATGAACTTTATTTATTTCACATTACAATCAAACAGTAATGTGTCTTGATGCATATGTGCACAGATGCATCATCATTATTTGCTTTATTCTTATTGATTTTTCCTTCCATGGGCCAGCTCTCCAGAACCACTATGCACCAGCATCACTGATGTCAATGGAGAAAGAGGCTTCTCAGCACTTCTGACAAATTATTCCTTTAAAGTTCAGACACTTCTATCACCCACAGAAATGAAATACGCATTAGACTTATGAGAAATCAACCTCATCTTCAGCAGCTCAAAAGAGCAACCCATGAAATCTAAACAGTTTAGCTGCTACTGCATATAAACACATAAGCAATGAAACAACCATATTATAACTGTCCCAGATGGGTACAGCATTTCCTGAAAACTGATTCCCAGCGTGTCCCAGCAGCCAGCTTACAGACAGTCACCCATTTTGTCTTTCCAAGTGGAAAGGTCACCAGAACAAATACGATCAGGAAGTAACGGCGAGGCCGTTCAGCTGATCTATTTCAAGCACCATGACAAAGAAAACTAATTTAGTGTTATAATTAGAAACACAGAGAGGAAAAAGCTCATTTTGGAGAAGTGCTGCTGCTGGAACGTTAACATTGGTGCCGATGGAGCTAATCAGCTCAGAGAGGTGGAAGAGTGAAACCAAATTATACATTTAGCATCTTCATGCAAACCAGGTTTGACACTGCAATTGTCTGCAGTTGGGAATAAGTGCAAGGTTTAAAGGTGACCTTACAAGAGAGCTTTTAAAGAAATAGACTAAACAAACAGTGTTTCAAGACTTTTTTTTTTTTAGAGCTTGAAAACCAAAACCACATGTCACAATCTTTTCTGTTCATATTTGATACTTTTCAAAGACTATCGGCTATTTCTGTGTAGTTCATATTTTTAAATGTATTTCATGTTTCTTATTACCAGCTGCAAGAATAAGGCTTTTTCAACTTCTTGTAATTACAAGAAGACCCATTTAATTTCTTGTAAATGGAAATATGACATGAATGAGCTGAAGTACACTGGAAGGACTTTCAAACCTGTAATGTATTTCTTTTCATTGTCTTCTCAAGAGGTACATCTGAATGTTCGGGGGGGGGGGGGGGGGGGGGGGTTTAAAAAAAACAAACCAACAAAAACCAAAAAACACCCCAAAAGGAGTTTTCAGTTTAAAGGAGATATAGATTGCAGGTTTAGTTACACAAATCCTATTGTGTACCTAAACATGGCCCATTTGCCTTGCATTTCTCTGGGAGTCAAAGCTATGTTTTTCCTGCTCTCACCCTGGTGATATTTCAGTGCCCCTTGGCTGTCTCAGTGAGGTTGTTTGTAAAGCTGTGCTGTAAAAAGGATCAACACAATGACCCAAGTTAGAAGTAATTATCCAAGAATAAAGAAGGAAAAAAAAAAAAGGCTAAACCCAGTGCATCATGTAGCTGCACAGTGAGACACAATTGGGTGATGAAGGATATGTATTTAGGGAAGATGAAGGGAAAGAGAGACAGCAGGAGGGAAGAAAAAGTGAACAAGGAGATGAGCCATAGCAGATAGAACAAATAGATGCATTTTCATTCACTGCCACACTGCCTTCCCTCAGTATTTTGTAACTGGACTTTCCTGGCCTACTGAAGTTAATCTTTTGAGGTAGTTAACTTCAAGGGAAAAGACAAAAGCACAGCAGTATTGGAATTCCCTCTCTCAGGGTACACAGAGAAAAGGGAAGTAGAGCACTAGGATGGAAAGTGAGGTCCTAACTTGAGCTGGTTAACTCAAGCAAGGATGATGCAAGTCTGGTGTCCTACCATGGTTACTTGGAAGTGCTTTTTCACTGCCCGTGGCTCCATACCTTCATAAGTTCCTACTTCCAGAAGGGTCCCACTTCGCTCCAACTCCAGAAACTCCTCCACAGTCAGAAAGTTATAGTCCACACCAGGCACTTCTCCTTCTCTCGGAGGGCGGGTTGTGCCTGAAAGGAAAAATTAGCATGTTAATATAGTTGTTTTCTTACTAAGAGTTAAAAGGGACAGTAAAAAATGATCATAAAGATACAACAGCATCTGTAAAATACAGTTCTGTGAGCTACACAGACAGCAGTGTCAAAAGAGTTCAGTTAGAAGTTAGGAGCCCATGTAAAAACAAGACATAGATCGCAGGTTGAGCTGGCAGTACCAGTTCCACTCAACGACAATGTTTTTGATATTCTCAGAAAGACTGTCTGGCAAAGAAATCTCTCATATCACATGCAGAAGCACAGCTGGAAGAGTTTGGTATCTGGGAATATGCCAGCAATTACCTTCCTGCCATTAGCACAGTCTCTCATACTTCAGCCTCACTAAAATTGCAATCTGTATTCTCCGATAAAGCAACTTCTTTCTAGCTTCCATTATTTCTGTATCACCTTATCTCACCAAACATTCTTTTACATCATAAAGATCTTTTCTCCCTTATTTCTTTTTAATATTTTATCTCTATTTATGTTATTATTTTTTATTCAGCATTAAAAACTACTGTAAGACAGTTTTGATGCACCGTTCACACATGCTCACTAAAGAGACAACCTGCAAACACTTCTCACTGAATTTCACCTATAAGCTCATTCCAGTTCAAGAAATACTTTTCCTTTTGAGTAATAATTCACACAGAATCTCTCTCTAGCACTCAACAATTTAAATAGCACCCATGGAGAACGGGGCCCCAGTCACTGCTACTCTGCCAGCTCTGAAACTCTTCTCTCTTCTGACCAATTTACAGCCCTTTGAAGCATAGTGTAAGATGAGTCATTTCATGACTTTTTGCTAAGATGGCTTGGGCCACTGCATTTTAGGTCACCGAGCACAGCTTAATTGATTAGGATCAATTTCTGTTCAATAGCCTTTATTTTCCATGACTCTGGAGGCTAGGAGATGGCTGTCTTCTGTACATCTAAGATTAAATATAAATGATAGATTTACAGATGGTACAGCAAACTGAACTTCAGAAGAAAGAGCAGCATTAGAGAGTTGGAGGTGTCCGAGTGCTGCGGCCGCAAGCGATCTGCTGGCTTGGGAATAACTTTGGAGATGTGGAAACCATACCTAACATTTAATGAAGCATGATTTCTCACTTCTGTGGGACTCTTCCGGCCCCTGGGCAGTGACTTCTCAGTGCATATAATTTCTTAAACCCTCTATAAAAGGACTGAAGAAAGTATAAAGAAGCTGAGCTTCTGGAAACTAATTGGGAAGATTCCAGCTCTCAGAAGTTGAAAGAGCATAAATTTACCATGCCTGCATCTGGCAAATGTTTTCCTCAAGTGCCAGGGAAGCGGAAAGTCTGCTTATGCCCTATTCATCTGAGAGACTGTTCAAGAGGTCAGTCTTGACAGAGTCACACCCTTGAAAGACTAGATTAATTTCCTTGATAGACATCCACTTTCTCTAACATCCTCCATTTCTTGTTTCAAAATAGAAACTCTCTCTCTTTTTCTATTATTTACCATCAGCCTTCAGATAGTCTATAAATTCCTGTGCTTTTTCTATCATTCCTTCTCTTGGAGCTCTGTGAATGGGTGAAGGCAGGAGGAGGAAAAGCAAAAAAAGGAATGGAAATGGTGATGAATATCTTCATCCTACTAGCAGAATTACTCTTTCCTATTAGAAAGGAATCAATTTTGCGTCCTTTGTATTTCTGAATCCTTACAGTAAGACTACAACAATTTTTACCGACTACTTTGTAACAGAGGACAGATGTGTTTCACAGATCTACACCAGAGAAATAATGGAACTGCACCACACACCCCTCTCTGCCCGAGTGCCTGCGCTTCCACCTAAAGGCAGGCAGCCAAGCTCAGCGGGCAATGCCCACGCAGGTCCCTCCCTGGCATGCAAGGAGCGGGCACGCATCCAGCCGCGGGGATGAAGGGTCACAGAGCCCGCAGCATCTCCTCCCTGATCACCGACACTGCTGTAGAGGTTCAGGTTGTGAGGACCCTCACCGGAGCATCGTGGCTGTTGACCACTGCCAGGTTCCCCTAAACCAGCCCGCAAGAGGGAAGGAAGAACGAAAAGCCTCAGCAAAAAGTATGTCCAAGGATGTGCTGTAGCTGTCCCATGCCTGGAGCACAGTGGAAGTGAGAATTAGACTCTGTAGTGCTCCTCATCCAATGCATCCGTCAAACGTCACCCCGAGCCATGTGGCACCTGAGCCAAGTGACAAAGATCGGGAGATGCTTTTTCCCAGTAACTGACAACACACGTTCATGAGACACAAAGATCAGGGAACTTCAGGACTCATTTTACTTTATCTTCTAAATCCCTCTTCCTCTCTTTACCTACATCTTCCCACAGAGAGTATTTATTAATCATTTTTTTTTCTTTCTGAATTTTTATAGCGGTGAAATTGCAGTCAGCAGTTTACTAGTGCTGGCTGCCTATTTGACATGACAATTATATCTCTGCCATAATTCCTCTGAGCCATTTTAATGGATCTATTTGTTTCATCTCAGTGTTCTCAATTTCCTGAATATGTTCAAGTCGAAAAATCGCAGATGTGCTTGCTATCAGCGCGATTGCCTGCAATACACGCTGAATGCATTAGAAACGCCAAGTCGCCGCGTAAAAGAAAAACATTACATCACAGAGATAACATTTGCCACCTCACATCGGTCCTCAGCAACAAAAGGAGGGAAAATAAAAACTACGCTGGTTAGGGTATCTTATCTGGGCAAAGGCGAAAAACCCAACGACTTTCCATGTTGCTGTCTAGAGCAAAGATTGCTTGCAGATGCTCGGGCTGTTATCCTGCTTCACATCTGAGCAAGTGTTACTGAATGCAATTCAGAAAGGCAGGGGGAAGGGAAAACCCGCCTCCGTTTTTCTTGTAGCAGAATGACAGGCTGCCGGCTGGACACACGCCTGGCAGATGGCATTTCAAAGAGTTTTCATGAACCATCTGGGATGTGTACAATGATTACAAACCACACTTACAACAAAGCCAGAAGGGTTGCTTCACAAGGGGGGTGGGGGGAGAGGGCGGGCAGAAAGAAAGGGGGGAAGAAAAGAAAACCAAGAGGTGCATAAGCAAACTCGACGACTTTTCCTCAGGCACAGGACGCTAAGAATAATCGGCACCTTCCACCCTGAACCCTTCCACGGCCTGAAACAACTGCTCGACTACTGCGCAAGCATGTGTGTGTGCAGCCCAACACCATTGCAGGCTGAAGCTTTCTGCTGATAAACTCCAAACTGTAATTAATTCTCCCATCGTTAACGTGACTTCATTATGTACAAAGCATAGTGTGTGTGTGTGTCCTCCCTCCCTCCCCCTTTAAATTGCTTTTCAGCGTCCTTACCACAGGATGGTCATCACTGAAGAAGAGGGCTATGGAGATGACTGTACGTTTTATCAGAGCTAATAGCAGGTCAGACCACTGCTAATGGCAGAATTAATTGAGCACAGTGAGTGCTGTAGATGGCCCAAACAGGAGTTAAGATACTCCAATAGAAAAGGCGAGCCAATCATATTTAAATACGTTAACCTGCCTGCCATGTTTGCACTGAAATATTAAGTGGCATCAAATCTTATTGCCATTAGGTAGCAATTTAGCAAATTAATTTGAGCTATGTCCCACTGTGTGACTAACTCAGAATTGCTAATGCTACAACAAGAAGGAACTGGAGGAGAAACCGAGTGGTTACCAACTCCTTCTGCACATTTAATGGTTCATAAACTTTCACTCTTATTTGGCTAGAATGTCCCACAACATAGATAACTAGTTAAAGACATTATATTCACAGGGGAATTGCTCAAATCTTCTGCAACTACAGCAGACTTAAGAAATTAAATAAATAAATAAAAGGCTACTGGTTACCATTGCAGGTTTTACCTTCTCTCTTGGCCTGGGGAGATAAAACTACATATAACATGGGTGGCTCCGATGCTAGGTGAAATGTTTGCCCAGCTGTTGGTTTGGTTATCACACCCAAGCTAGCTGCATCCCAGTTTATTCATGCATCACTAATGCTTGGGCCACAAAAGAGGATCTCATCATGGGCTGATGACCCCACCTGAGAAACTGCTTCTAGACACAGGTGAGTTTGCCCAAGCAGAGCCCAGTGCTTTACTTAAGCTAACTAAATTAAAGCTTGTCATCCATGCCTAGAATAACTGGACTGTGGCTCAGATGTACTGATGACTATCAACTATTATTCTGAATAATTTAAGTACCCATTTAAAAGACAAATAGCTGCTGCTGTTGTGTTGCCTATCAACCATGTTGACAATTACCCAACATGAGCCTCAATTATAGTATGGCCAGATTGTTAATATGTGATTCAGGGGCTGTTTAGCTCCTTATCAATCTACCAAGGCCTCATGTTAAGCTGTTAATAGCCACTGATGCCCTGCTGCTAAATTAATCAGAATCTTGCTTATTGTAATCTAAAAATAAGACTTCAAAGGGGCCGTAGACACTTCAATTACTTTCTCGTTAAAACAAAAACAATTCTTGAGCAGTAATTCTGTTACCACACACCAAAACAGCCCTTAGCAAGTCATAAAGAAGTTGACTTCTCAAGTGCAGAAGACCTACATCTCCCATTTGCAAAGCAATGATTTCTGCAAACTACTTATCCAACTCCACTGACTGGCAATGATAACCTGGTGAGCCACCAAAATATAGCTGATCAAACCACAAGTCATTTGCTTCTCATCTCCACTGACCAGCTTCTCTTAAAATGACAGATAATGTGGGAGATGTACACTCAAAGTAATGATATAGTTGCTACAACCATATTTTATACAAACTCAAGTCATTGGTCGTTACCAATGGTGAATGGAACTGTAGTAAATAAGGTTTTAATGTGAAGTGTGCAGGGATGCTATTGACTCAGGAAGCTGCAACGCCAAAAGCTGTTGTGAGGGTTTGCTGAGAGGCTGTTTGCGGGTGGGTTAGAAGGAAAGATGCTGTTCTTGCCATTGCTCTTGAAG